TCTAAAGTATGGCTGCATATGGTGGGGTCTGTAACCAGTGCCAGTCTGAATGGTGGGGTCTGTAACCAGTGCCAGTCTGACTGGTGGGGTCTGTAACCAGTGCCAGTCTGAATGGTGGGGTCTGTAACCACTGCCAGTCTGAATGGTGGGGTCTGTAACCACTGCAAGAAGTTTATTTCTGGGAAAGGTATCCACACATCCAACCTCCAACCAATGCTGTCTGGTATGGCAACCAAGTACCTTTGTGTTCAGGGAAGCAGCGTGCCAAGCGAGAGAGTGTTCAGTTCAGCAGGTGATATCCTACGCTGTGAAAGCGCCAGTTTGGATCCAGAGAGAGCAGATATTCACAAAACTGAACTGTGATGGGATTTGTTTTCTTTCATCAGGCAAATGTTGATTTTAATGCTATTTGTTTTATGTGCAATGCCGAGATCTCATGATCCTTTGTGTTCTCTGGTCAGTCGAATCTCAGGTTGAATATTGATTATACTGGTGCTATTTTCTTTTTGCATTGACAAGATGTACTATTCACGCCTGATTGTTATAAATGATATTGCAGAATCTGTTTTCTTCANAGATAACGTGTTCATTGTTTGTTCAGTACTAAAAGGTCAGAGTCCCACAATTGAATTTAATATTCATTTGACATGTTAACTATATCATAAAGCGCTTCATGGGAGTAATTGAGGGATGTTTACATTTTTCCCTTATGCAACAATCACGATATGTATCGGTATCGTTCAGTGGTATCGTAAACAAGTTAACGATATGCATCTCAACCTGGGATTCTGACATGAGTTTAGGTTTTTACTGTCGAGTTTTACTAACAACGTCATGAAAGCAGCACCTTGTATGTGGAGTCCTTGTGGAATCCATTTTGTTATTTAGCATAAATAATTTAATCTCATACTCACAACTGTATGAATGCAACTGCTTTATCTGAACAAGAAAGCTTGAATATTGACAAACATGGCTAAATTGAATGTTGGGTCTCAAAAGTTGAACTTAACCAAAGTAGAAAAGACTTTAAAGCTGAAAAAAGTAAACTATTTGGATAATTGATCTTGTTTTATAAAGAAATGACTCAGGGAATTTCAGTTTTTATTCCTAATTGATTTTGATTATTTTGGATCGGATAAACAAGCAATTGAAAGATGTTACTCGATGGGAACATACCATTATAAACTACCAATTGTGTTGCACATTTTCCTCAATGTTTTAATCAATAAAAAGGCAAGTCTATTCTAGGCATTTTCTTAAAAGTCAAGATCTGTTAAATGTATCTTTTCGGGACCACAGAAACTAAAATATCTGCGAGTCCCTACAGGTGCTGCAGTGTAAACCCGGCGGAGGGCAAGGAGGTTAATAAGGGATCTGATTCAGAGGATTACTGCTCTGACACATGGGCCGTTCCTCAATGTCGAGTATACCGGCTGCAGAGCCACTATCTCAAGTATACTACGTCATCGAGTGGCGCCGAACGACTGTTTAAATGCCCAGCATTCGGCGCCACTCGATGACGTAGTATACTTGAAATAGTGGCTCTGCAGCACATTGAGAAACGGCCATGGAGTCCTGAATCACTGCTTCAAGCTGTCCACCAAAATGAAATCAAACCATTAACCAACATCTGAAGATCTCGGTTATTTTCAGCAGCTGGACTTCCTGTTTCTCATTTTCTCTCACTGACGAGTCAGCAGTAAAACAACCCGTTCTTTGTGACAACATGAATGTTTATTTATGAACTTACAACATACCAAAACAAAGACATTTGCGTAAAATAACAACTAGGCTTATTAGCCTGGCGGGGTGGGGTGGGGAAGCAGTACGGGTGATGCTCGTAGAAGCCAAGAAAAGGTCAGCATTAATACAGCTAGTGTCCGTATCTGTGGAGAAAAGACAGAGAGAGGAAGTGCCGTTAGTAAAGGGCTTCATTTCAGGAAATACTCAAAACATTTCACTGTCAAAGGCAACAAATGAGGAATTGAAATAACAACACACATCTCCCCAAAGCTATACATCTCTGGCTAAAACAAAAAGTGATCTATAAGTACTATTACTCACTTCTGAAACTCCCACTCCCTGTTGTCCAGAGGGCACACCTGTCTGGTTTTCAGCCAGCGGGAAATACAGTGGAAATGGAAAGCATGCTGTGGAAGAAAAAAGAAAAAACATGAATTCACTTCGGAGAAATATGTGAGACCATATGTGAGACCAGCGCTACATTTACAATCTTATAGCCAATGCCCGAAATTTACAAAAATGTAGCTAATAATTAAATCATTTGTTCGCAATGATCAACCCTATAAAACTAAAGAATCGTTGTTGCCTCGGTTATGTTAGTAAATATAGGAAACACCTATAGAAGTGTGACTTAACATTGAGAACTTGAACACTAATAGTTTCCCTTCACAAATCCAGATTATATATGCATGGCAACAAATATATTTGTTAATGTTTGTCAATTATCTAGGCAAAATTCACTCCTGAGCTACAAAATATGCCAACATTGTGAAAAGAAGAACCTCTTGAATACTTATATTATGAAAATGTAAACCAAAAATTGCTGACAGGTGAAATCAACACGATAATGGCATGTGCTTGAATTAGAGTATCGAAACTCACATTGCAGACACCCCAGGCTACAGTGCACTCCTCAGAAGTTGCTGAAGCTTGGTTGGCCTGGCACTCTATACCTGAAGAGGGAGATAGAAATCTGTCAACAATTCAATTCACAAACAGGCTGACATTTAGAGCCTCATATCGTGTTGCTTATGTGCTCTTTGACAGCTGCCGCCCATGACCAAATCATTTCTTATACACAGTCCATTATGTATACAAGGGTAAATTAAACTCACAGAGATCCATGATGTGGTTCCTACAGATGGCACAGTTATCCACCACAATATCCCAGGCCCACAGCGCAACTGCATTCCACTGGTCGGAAATGTAAAAAATACAATAAATATAAGAAGATGCATTACAATCACTGACAAATGTAGTTGATAAAATTAAATGACAGTTTCACAATACATTTTAAATCCCACAACCAACGTTATGATTGGTGTACTGTTAAAGATAGGACACAAACAAAGTGTGACTTCGTATTTTGTATAAATGATATGAACTTCAGCCAGATGTCAGTTATTTATAAATAGATAAGGCAAATAATCACCACACTGCTTCTTTCCCACTCTTCAGTAGTTTTACTATAGCATATGAGATGCTTGCAACATCAAATCTGAGAAGCTGTCACCCAAATACTGTGTTTACATTACTGTCACTGTAATATGACTCTTAACTGTAATTGCGTCATAACATTAAGCTGCTGTTGCTAATGATAATTAACCATTGCTAAGTTAATCGATGAACATGTCATATAAAACTGGGTTCGTAAAACGCATTACGCGGGTAGTTTGATAGAAAGTGAGCACAATAAACATTGAAACATAGTCAGTTTGTATATTCAAACCATATTATATACACTTCTTGCAAGTTATAACGTTATAAAGTTCATGTTTTCAATATTTCTGGAGGCTATCAAACTCCGGAGGGCGGCTTAGCTAAGCTAGGCTAATTTATCTCGCAGTTAAGAGCTTAGTTATTTACCGTTACGTAGGTCAGGATTTAATGTTAACCTTGGGAAGGCTTTTTCTGTTTATTAAACCGTGAGTATTATTGGTGATCCCTGTAACATCACTATAAGTCCTAAGAATATATTTTTTGCTATGAAAAAGATAAGTGCACATTCATGCCCTGTTTGTAGCAGGCTAACAGCTAATAGCTAACTGTCTCTATGTCTTTAACGGTTACACTTAGAAAACGTTAGCGGTATTTAGCGGTCATTTGTGGTTTATGGCAGATGATATGCTATCTTTACATCAAGAAACCGTGTCAAACTTACCTTTTTTACTTCAAATCGCTTCTTGCTAGCCCCACTGTTAGTGCCGGTCGGCGTATCAACATCCATAGCTGCTGCCATCTTGCGAGGAGAAATTTTGCGCTGAAGTAAACGTGACCCGGAAGAAAAACAGCGTTTCCGTCAGTGAGAAACTACTTACTGTTGATCCCGATTGTAGTCGTTTGTGTCATGATATGTTCATTGTGGAAAGAATCTTATTGCTCTGATGTTGCTTAAAACAAATGCTTGCTCTGTAAGACACATTTACATAACGTAAAAAGCGCTCAAAAAAGAAAAAAAGTTAGGTTCTACCGAGATTTGAACTCGGATCGCTGGATTCAGAGTCCAGAGTGCTAACCATTACACCATAGAACCACATGATGTACATTGATGTACAGTAACACTATATTGTTGCCACTTGATTGAAATTATTTGGTAATTTAGTCCCTTATACATTTCAAGTTTACATGTTTTAACACTTTCTCACGATTTTGAACTGCTATTGAGTCATTCTTACCTAAAAACTCTCTTAAACTTGCATCTTCAATACATTCGGGGCCACTTATAAATCCCCTTCTACAAATATTGAACCTTCTTTGAGACTAAGTAAAAGATCCCCTTTGTCAGATTTTTTTTATGGGATAGAATCAATAGAATATTTTCAGAACATGAGTGGGTGACATTACATTGCTAAACTGAACCGGAGCAACTCCCATCCCCACAATTCACACTCGATGCATAATATAAGTGTAGCATCAGCATTTCAACGTCCAACCTACAATCATCTAATTCATGTATCAAATACCAATATCAGATCATTCTGGCTGGAAGAGTATTATCTTATTCACCTCTCAGTTTAACATACAACTCAAAACGACCAGATAACCCCAAACTGGCCAAGCAAATAGTCATTTATAGACTATTTATTATTCATCGTAGTGTACTCTCTTCATTTTTGTGTCCCCTTTTTTTTTTGCTATTCAGTTTTAGCATGCTCAGACAGTCAATTGTGTATGTAAACTCCAAACGGAGTGAATTGTGATCTTAAACTCTTTAATAAAAAGAGGCGGTTCAGACTTTCAATTTGTTTTATTTCTTATTACAGTATCTTCTGGTTCTTTGTCACTTTTGGTGCCACAGGTTTCCTTTGAGGTTTTTTCTTGGTGGGTTTTGGTAGTTTGGCTTTTGGTTTTGCAGGTCTAGCTTTGACTCCAGAGACCTTTGAGACACTGGCTTTGGGTTTCTTGAGTTTTGGTAGTCTGGGGGCCGTAACAACCTTCTCATCTGGAGGAGATACGCTTTCTGTGCAGGACTTGAACACAGAAAGGTCCCTGACCTTCTGACCTCTTATCTCAAGAGGCTGCCCACAGGTCGCGATCACCTCAAACTTAAGCTTTTCCATCCACCTGGGAGAGAGAAACAGACAAAAAATAGTTGTCATTAATTATCAAAAAAATGCGAACTAATTTCCAGGTTTGAGGACACATTCCTGCAACACAAGGTTCCCAAAAAGAGTGATATCTGGTAACTTCCTTCTCTTATTCTAGGTAAACTGACCTTCGTAGTGGCAGCAGAGCACAGTCGCACAGCAGGGGGTTTTCCTTGAGGTCGACCACCTCCAGGCCGGTGAGGGGGCTCAGGTCAGGAAGCTCCGTCAGCTGGTTCCCTCTCACAGTCAGAGCCTTCAGCCCCGGACCGAGCCCTCTCAGAGCGTCCAGGGACATCTGCACAGATACAATATAAAGAGCTGATTAACAATAAGTCCTTGCCAAGCTGTTAGCATGGATCAGGCCTCAGTGTAATTAATCGTGTTAATCCAACATTTTATTTCACGCATATGGTCATATTTATGCTTACAAACCTGATGAGAAGGCAGATATTTTTTCTTTTGTTAGATCTCTTAACTCCATCTAGTACACATGCTGACTCCAGAGGAACTCACCCCCCATTGATCTTCCTTTTAACAATATCAACTTTTCTCAATGGAGAAAATTACTTTTACTCTCAGACTCCTTAAGAAGAATGGATTAATGATCGGGGAAAATGGCATTGTAATAAATGTCCAGAATCTTAACAATGTCATATATATGCATTGTGAACTGAACGTGTGCTTTTATTGTTACTTTTGTACTCAAAATATATGAAATGCTGTGCTGTTAGCATGATAAATCTCAATGCTAATTTGTATTAAATGGATCTTGAACGCATCATAATGTAGCCTCACTTCCTCGGCTACTTCTAGCTCTCCTGCACAATTCAACATATATTTACTTTTCAAAGGTCTCTCCTACCTTCTCCACGCCCATCTGATCCATGTAGAGCCTCTTCAGACTTTGAGATATGGACTGGAAAGCATTTGGTCCCACGTAGCGGATTGAATTCTGCGACAGGTTGAGCTCCTCTAGGTTCGTGGCCTGGGACAGAGCGTGGGTAGGAATCTCCTTCAGCTGGTTTGAATCCAGGTGAAGTGTACCGAGGAAAGCAGAGTCCAGAGAACCCTTTGCAACTGAAGTTATGGTGTTGTTGGTCAAGTAAAGCTCTCTGAGTTTAGGGGTTTTCGAGGACAGCAAACCAGCGGGTTCTAGTTTGGAGATGGCATTTCTCTCCAGGTGTAACACGAACAGACTTGGTAAGAGAGCCAGAGCTACAGGAGGGACACAAAGAGACATCAAATATCATGTTTTTTTTACTTTCCTGTGCTTCTTATATTTAATCTATCTAACCACTCACCTGATCCTGGAAATTGTAGCAGTCGGTTCCCTTCCAGGTGAAGGTAGTTGAGCTTTGGGGCTCCAGAGAACGCTCCAGGGTCCAAAGACGTGATGTCGTTTTCCGAAAGATACAAATAAAACAGGCTCTTCATTCCCCGAAAGGCCCCGCCCTCGATTTCGTGGATTTTGCAGAACTCCAGATGAAGAGAAACCACCTGGCTGGTGCCGGGGAAGCTGTTGGCAGGGAGGTGGTGGAAGTGGTTACTGCGGAGGTCGAGCATCTGCGTCTTGGCAGGGAAACCTCGCGGGACTTTGGTGTGACCCCGATCCTCACAGGTGGCGTGCTGAGCTTCAACCTGGGGAGGGTTGAAATCAGAGTATTATCAACAATACATCTTAGTGGGTTTTGTAACAGCAGTGGGTAAAGTCTTCACATATTTTACTGTATTTGTAAATAGATTCAAGATTCAGATTCAAAGATGACCCGAGCTCCTCCAACAATACAAAATAAAAAGTAGTGCAAAAAGTCTATAGAACATGGGATATTTACAAGAACAGAATATGAAATTAAATAATGTAAATTAAGACAAAATTAAATACGGTTTATTGCGATGATAACTATTTATATAAATTAGAAGATTGCAAGACGACAACAGGAATTGAGTTTATCGTGGCACTTAACCTTACACAAATATTTTTAATATCTAGTCGCTACATTTGTCTGTGTGTAAATTGGTGCTTAGGCAATAAGTGTAAGAGATGTTACGACGTGGGTGTACGAAAAAAGCTATGCTGGGGGCTGGGAAACCAAAACACAAGCAAGCTAAAAGGTCTAATGAAACTAGAGAGCTGGTTGATAATTATTTGCGGACTGGAAACCTAAACATTGAGCTAAAAGACGCCTAAAAGGTCTGAAAGAACTTCTGGGCTCATTTGCACCCTTTAAGTTTATTTATTTATTTTGATTATATATACTATTTTGTATGTTCTTACCCATTATGACTATGTATGTCATTAAGTATGGTATTCCTGTCATGCTATGTTTTTTCTTTATTATTTCTTGTTGGCTTTTCTTTTTGTCTTCTATGTTGAAAAAGGGATTTCCATAAAAATATTTGAAAAAAGATCTGAAAGAACTGCAAAGCTCGTTGATAGTTATCTGGTTTCATTTTCTACAAACACTTTCATTTGCATACACTTAACAACATTTACACAACACATTGTTCCACAATTCTTGTATCAGACAGTAAGTCACTCACATCGCAGTCGCAGTTCTCCGGACACTTCCCTTTCTGTTTGGGCTTCGCTGTGGGGGGGGCGCTCTCTGTGGGCTCCAACTCAAACTCCTCCTTCAGAACTTCCCCCCGGCTGCGGCAGCGCAGATCCAGAGGAGCCACGCTCTGCAGGGGCTCCTGTGAGAGGTGGGGGGGCCCCACACAGGCCCCCAGCAGCTTCACATTACGGACCCTCGCCCACTCCCTCAGGGGCCGCATGAAGCAGTTACAATACAAGGGGTTGCCTTTGAGAAGAATTAGTATAAGATAAAAAAAAACAACGTAATTAATCAGTGTTTGGAAAATTGAAACGTTATAGCAGCGACAGAGATAAGAGTGAAACACAGGATGTAAAGGTGAGAGTTTGAACAAGGATAATAATAACAACAAATACAAAAAGTACATAAAAGTATACATTGAATTATAGATATTTATTGTTAATAATATTTTAAATATATAGAAATGTCAATTTGGAAGTGCGAGGACAGGAACAACTAAAGATGACCTTAACTTTTTACTTTTATTAGTTTTTACTTATTACTTACTTTAATTGAAGTGATGTCATTTCTGTTGATGTCTTTTGTATTTTTATTTATTTATTTGAGCAATGTTGTTTTTATATTGTCGTGGTTTATATTAATAAAGACGCATCTAGAACAGGGGTGTCAAACTCAAATACACAGTGGGCCAAAATTAATAAATGGGTGCTACTCGAGGTCCGGACTGGTTCAATGTTTATTGCAAAGCTTATTCAAATGAACTTAAAGCACATTTTAAACCTGGAACTAACAAAGCTTAAATGATTGCCTATAAAAACAACATTAAACATTAAATAATCAGTTGCATTCATTTCTTATGGCTCTATCTGCAGCTTTTCCAGAGTCATTTCTTATGATTACATTTTCCCACAGGCCAACAACAGCTTCAACAAAACTATTTCCCTCAAAGAGAAAAGCAAACATGCCCTGTTGTCGTGAGAGAAAAAGTGCAGAAGGAAACATCCATTAAACTCAGTGTGCTGCTCTGTGATGCTAGTTCAGATACTTGGCATCTCATCTTGGGTGCAAGGTCATCAATGTTTGGGCTCAGGCTCTGAGCTGAGGAGACCCTCAGGATGGAGTGAAGGTGTGCGTGCAATATACCGGCGGGCCAGATCTAATAGTAATTAGAAATTATCCTGCGGGCCGAAATTAAATCCACCAAGGGCCTGATTTGGCCCCCGGGCCTTGAGTTTGACACGTGTTCTAGAAGATATAGAACTCTGGGTTGCCAAATCATCGAATGTAACAATACTAAAAAAAGACAGTAGGGAAAAATCATCTTTTTTATTTTATTATTATATTTAATATTTTATTTCGTTTTTTTGTATTATTACTATTATTACTATTATTACTATTATTATTATTATTATTATTATTATTATTATTATTATTATTATACTATTACTTATACTGTTATGTTATCATTACCATTTTTGTGTCTCTTTTAATGTGAAAAATAAAAATAAACATCTGTATTCCTCGTCCTTATCTGTGTGGATTCAAACAGTGGGATCAGATTTGTACCTGTCAGGTTGAGGCTTTTCAGCTCATACGGACCCTTCAGGGGCTCCAGGTACCGCAGCTGGTTGTGGCTGAGGTCCAGGTGAGAGAGGAGGGGGGCCCGGGACAGAGCCTGATCAGAAAGGTCCTGCAGGGACATGTGGTCCAGGTACAGGTGAGTGAGCTTCACCATGGAGACGGACTCTTCACCCAGGTAGGTCATGGGGTTATGGCTCATGTCCAGACGCGTGACCTCAGGGAGTCTGTACGGGGAGAGGAGGATTTACTGCTGTTAGTTTCATTATGTACTAGACTCATATCTACCTTTACACCACACACACACACACACACACACACACACACACACACACACACACACACACACACACACACACACACACACTTTTTACGCTGCTATGGACAGTCTTGCACTAATGTACATTTCTCAAAGATATTGAAGTGACTGTTATTTTGTATATATTGATTGTTGTGCTTTTATGTAGGTCTTAATGTGTTCATATGTATACATGTGTCTTTTGATTGTGTATATATAGGTATATTTGTATTTTTGTATTCGGGATTGTTGGAAACGGTATTTCAATCTCTGTCTGTACACACAAACTGTAGGATTGACAATAAAGTTTACTTTGACTTTGTTACTGTCCTTCTAGGGTTGAATAAAATAAACTCTTGGATTGTGTCTGGATGAGCCCTGCTGAACTGCCTCAATCAGTTAGGGGTAATTGAATTAGTTCTGTGTGCAGGCCTCAATCACATTATCAATGAACCAGATTTTCATTCAGAGGCTTTATTTGTCATGTGCACAATAGCTACAGTGTGGTTGTTGGCAATTCAGATCTGAAGTCTTAGGCCACTCCAACACTGCAACATGAGATATACTTAACATTTAAAGGAAGAAACAGCAGTAGACATGATGGCGCAAGTAGGTTGCAGGAATAAGAACAACGATTACCCATTAGATAAGATAAAGCAGAATGTGAAATGAAATACCTTACAGTATAATAAATGTAGGCATGTCCCTAAAAATGAAAAATGCCAACGTAATGCTGGCACTGGAATCAGTAGGGCTCATCCTCTGGGGACCGTGAATGTCCCAAATTCTTTAAAAGTATTTTAAGCTTGGTTTTTGCCCAATAATACTTTGCCAATAGCTATGCTGTATTTGTGGTTAATAGCAAGAAGCTGTGGCATTTGTAGCTTAAGTGCCACTGCTGAGAAGCCATTAGCACAGTTGAGCATTATAATATTAAAATACTTCTCGTATAAGGCCCATAATAGTCCTGCAGACGGTCCCACCTGCTCATGGTCTGCGTGGGGAAGAACTGCAGCTCGTTGTGGTCCAGGCTGAGGCGGCTGAGCGTGAACAGGCCGGTGAACGCCTCGGGGGCCAAGTTGTTCAGGGAGTTACGGCTGAGACGAAGCCACTTTATGTTCTGCAGGCCCTGGAAGAGCGGTCAGAGTGTCGTGAGATCATACAGCCAGACAAACTGATAACCTGTGGAGAGTGTGTACAAAGTGTGTGTCGCAGCTTCCTTCCTGATGGCTTTCAAACTGACATTTCCAACGTGTTGTCTTTCAAGTTATTGGTTTATTTGGGATGACTTGACGTTATGTGGCTCGTGTGGTTAATTAAAATAAAATAAAATAGTTTCCACAAGCATTCAAAAATAAAATAGGCATTTAAAAGAGGCAAAACAAATCAAAACAAGAGGCAAAACTCTAGTCAGATGAAAAGGAAACTTAGATTATCTGTCCTTATGTAATTATATTTGTTACTGGAAATTTGTATTTTCACATTTATATTTTCCACATCCACTTATATATATTTTTTACTTTTTGATGCTATTTTATTTCTATTTCAGAAATATTTTGGACTGTTTATTTCTTGTGTCTTAATTTCTCTTATGTACATTGCCTTGTTTTTTTATCCTGCTGCAACGCAAACATTTCCCAAATTGGGATCAATAAAGTACCTATCTATCTATCTATCTATCTATCTATCTATCTATCTATCTATCTATCTATCCATCTATCTATCTATTTATCCATCTATCTATTTATCCATCTATCTATCTATCTATCTATCCATGCATCCATCTATCTATCTATCTATCTATCTATCTATCTATCTATCTATCTATCTATCTATCTATCTATCTATCTATCCATCTATCTATTTATCCATCTATCTATCTATCTATCTATCCATCTATCTATCTATCTATCTATCCATCTATCTATCTATCTATCTATTTTATCCATCTATCTATTTTATCCATCTATCTATCTATTTTATCCATCTATCTATCTATCTATCTATCTATCTATCTATCCATCTATCTATCTATCTATC